AATGAACTCGTGAACACCCATAACAACCCTTAACCTTCCATTTGAGGTGATATCAACATAAAAACTTTAACATCATATACAAACATTAATTATAAATTATATTGTAATGTATTTATCATTACAGGCAGTGAGACCTCTGCACTCATTCCATTAATAACATTCAATCGCCTATTTTATATGTACACTGAAATTCTAGAATAGTTACTATGACTTTATAAAAAAGAAACAATTTTTTCTTTCTTAAAATAAATTAATAAAAATTTTACATCTAAAACAACATACAAACATATATATATATCCATATGGATATATATACATATATCCACTGGTGAATCCCAAGACTTACAGGAATATGATATATTTAAATTGACAGAATTTTATTTTATATTACATCAACTTTTTTTTTTAATTAATTCAAATACTGAGATTTAACATAACTAATAATATCTTCAGAATGAACAAGGACTTTAATATGAACTGTGCAATCTAAGTTAGAAAAACTTAAGAAAATTTGATTTTTTTTTTAATTTTTTAATTTTTCAGCAGCGTGTCTGTGCTTCACAAAAATATAGAACTTCTTGAAAGAACACATTTATAAACCCTAATATAACCAATTATTATTTAGAATATCGTTGAAGTTGATTAAGTATATCTATGATAAACATTTGAAAACAATATTAAACTAATAAATTTACTTAACAATTTATATAATTTGAATAATATAAAATCATAAATAAACTCATTAAGGGAGTTCCACCAAAGCATAGTCAATGTTTTGGATAGTGTATATTGCTACATTTTCAAATTTTAAAAAATTTTCTTCTTCCCTAGTTTATACAAATAAAAACCCTAAACATTATTGAAACAATATGTTTCATTATATTGAAGAATTATATATAACACAACAACAATCCATTATTTTATGAGGATAAACAAAATACAATGTAAAAAGACATTGTAAACTGAAAAAAACATGACGGGTTTGGCAACATGGGCCAACATATTTTTGCCAGTTTATTTTCTCTTTTTTTCTTTAATTTTTTTTTAACATAAATTTTTTTCATCTAAAACGATACTCTACATATTCAAGTCCATTAGCCATAGACGTATATATTTTATTATATAACTGAGCATTTTTAATTAACTTATGTATAAAAGAGAATGTCTCACTTTTTTTTTTCACATTTAGCTGATTATTAGATTTGATGGATATTAGGCCATACCAAACACACAAAACAATCTTCTCACAATCACTTGTCGACAACTATAACATTTCAACTCGATCTATAATCATTATTTAATCGGCACAACTTTCATTTACCTCTAAACAGAAAGAACTGAGAATAACTATCGCAAAATTGAGCGGTATATTTTGGTTATTTAATTCTCTTTTTATTTTTGTTCTTACACATATTATTCACTTTCTTCAATAGTTTGGAACAGTCTCGTTGTAAAATCTAGCACACTGTCACTAAGACACCGAGACGAGGGCAGGAACATCTCATACTTATTATCGTTACTTTCATGCACAGGCTTCCATCCTTCAACATAAAATTGTCTATGGAAGCATTGGATGACTTACAATATTCAATGGAAACACATTGACATTAGTTCACTGTGAACAAGGATTGGGGGACAACACAGCATTGACTATTATAAGTTCTTTAGAGACCATTAAAATGGTTCCCTATATTTTACACGCAATCAATACATAATGCTAAAACTATTTACATTTGAAACTTTAATATTGACAATAATAACAACACATATATTGACAGATTTTCTATTGTATAATTTTTTTTTATACATATCTTGTTAAAAAAAAATAAAATAAAAAAGTAGTAACACTGCCTAATATTTATATTAAAGCATATTTGCCACGGATGAAACTAAGAATAAAAAACATAACATAAAAATAATAAAGATGCCTAATTTATAACAGGATAGGATGAAATCGATATCAAAATGAACCCAGCTCCATGAATCATGCAATAATTAAATCCTAACAAATTTATTCATGTTTCTTTTAACAGTCATAATTAGGCCTTTATTTATATCAGAAAATGATATAATTCATATCTTTCCAAGATAAACAGATGGGTATTGTACTAGATATATTAGTGTGTAGTCAACACAAATGATAAAAGTAGCAATTGTTATTACTTCCCTGAAACTGCAACAGTTTGTAAAAATGTTTTTACATATAATGTACCTATATTATAGCTTGGACGATTTAAATAGTATTTAATATTTTTGGCTACAAAATAGATCTATAATGACATAATAGATACACTTGTATTTGCCCAATAACATTGATTTTTAAAAATTAAATAGCGTAGTTACATAAAAAAAGGGTTTTAAAAATAAGGTTGAAAATTTACTTGGGACACCTTCTACCAGATAATTTTTTTCTGAATAATGCAGAGTTCCTAAAACCGTTATCTGGTTATATTTTCTCATTTAAAAATATTTTTTTTTACTCAGAAACTTTTGGTAGGCCGAAAAATACTATTATTGCTTACTTATTTTGTTTTTTCACAAACTTTAAGCTCTAGATTGATATAAAACTCAGAACTACTCCAATCTTCCCTACAAAGCAGTGAAAACTAATATAATTATTTAGCATCTTTTCAATGAAGTGGCATTTTAAGTTAAATTTTATGGTGTCCCTATAAAGCAAAATCAAAAATACTTTTTTAAACAAAAAATAATTCAAATGTAACTTAAATCGTTATTTAATACTGCATTGGAAATATTATTTCAATATAATTAACATAATTTCATATTTGGAGACTGGAATCTATAATAATAATATTGATATATAATATATTTAGAAATAATATTAAAATTCACTCAAAAACTAGTTGACTAATTGTAAAATAATATAGTTCATGGTACTTTAGATGTGTTCAGAAGTTAAGATTTCTAATTCTAAAATTGCTATTTCGTTCAAGAAAAAAAAAAAAAAAAAATGCTTAACCCACTCTGCACAGTTTGTGTAATGCACTTAGTGTTATAGTAATTGTATTTTTCCCTAAAGCAGTATTAAGGTCACTTTCTCCAACTGATTGTTCCATTATTTAATGTATTTTTTCTTTAAATTTGAATAAGTAAAATGTTTATCATGCAGTTTTTATCATTCAAAGTTTTCACAAGGCATCGCTTTGACAAAATTATTATTATGTATTACCAATAATTCCAATTTTAAGGCAAAATACTTGGCTTAAATATTATCACAGCAAAACAACAGCTTTTTGAATTTGTGTACATGTTAAAATAAACTGTTACATTGCAGACATTTTTTTTTAATCGGCAATGCCCAGTTCTTTTTCTGGCTCTTTTTGTCTCATTTATTCAATTTTTCTCAACCATTTTATCCACAATGTTGTATTAATAGTACACACATTAAGATAAAAATAGCTGCTGAAAAAAAATTTGAACTTGCCAGTTCCGTATTCTATTCATGATGGCTAGGATACTAATTATGTAATATTAGGTAATGGCCAAAGTTCAGCCAAATATCCAATAATTTTGTGGAAAAAAAAAGACAGGAAAAAAGTCCAATCTAAGAATGATTGCAATAAAATTTTTATCACATTTTTAAGCCATTTTATTGAGTTTAAATTTATTAAGTTTATTTAGTTATCCAGTAAGTCTATCCACTCTATTATCAGTTTTTTTTTTTTTTTATTTGAAAGATATTTATCCGTATACATAAACCATGTTGATATTTATAAATAATCTACTGTTATAATATATTTTTGGAATTTGAATTTTATATCTCATAAATCTGCAGTTAAACAAACAAAAGAAATTATAAGTATTAATTTATTTTCATAAAATAAAAAAAATAATAATTATATATCAACAGCAGAGCTTATAATAAAGAAAAAACAAAAAGAGACAATGTCATAGGCTTATTTATCTAGAAATTAATTTAATAATTAAATTAACCCTAATTGAAAACTTTTGATATCACAAAAATGTGCACTTATGAATCATATCACTGTTATGATTAAAAATCTCTTTAAATTCCAATGAAAAACAATGGTAATTTTCGAATGAAATGTATAATTGCTTAGCGGAGTAGATTTAGGATAAAGGTACCTATTATTGATATATTAATCATTGACACTTGTAACTAAATTTGAGAAAATGAGCATTTAGGTTCATGTAGGATTTCAAACTTGCCCCTTTCAAAGGCTGATTAATGTGCCATTGAAAGAGTGCCAAGTTTGAGATCCTACATGAACCTAAATGCTTATTTTAACAAATTTAAGTTACAAATGTCAATAATTGGTAATATATCAACAATGGGTTCCCTTACCCTATTTTCATGAAGATTTAAAACATTATTTTAATTTTTTTTTTTTATTAATATTGATTTTTATTTTATTAATTACTATTATTTTTATTTAAACCAATATCTAGTCATCATTTACAATTCAATACTATGGTTGATGTTTTTTATTTGTTTTATTCAACTATTTGATGCATTTTATTTACGATTTTTGCTAAAATAAAAACTTTTTCCTTATTAATCTTTATTATATATTGCTTATTATTATAAATAAAAAATAATAAAGATTATATAAACTTGTAAATCAGTTGCATCTATCTATTCAATACCTAAAGATCACATTTTACCAATCATTGCCAACACAATATCAAAATGAGTACAGAATTTTTTGAAAACCCTTTATTGGTGACCTTCTGACTATAAGAAAATATAAAAATTTGTGCTTTTTGGCAAATCGGAATGGCAGGCAATATAAGATGGCAGTGAATGGGCTAAGCTCTTTTTTTGTTTTAACACTTAAACCTAATAGATCTAAACATCTTAAAACTTTTCTCTATAAAGTGGCGCATCAGTTAACATGTTCACAATGTAACAGCTCTTTGATAAAAATACATCCGTGACAAAGATACTAAAAAAAAAAAAATCCTTTAAAAACACCTTAAACATTAATAGTATAGGAAGGGATAGACTTAACAGTTGGTCAGTGTTTATATTCTGGATATTTGGGCCCCGGAGGGATGAGCGCTGATTGGTCATTGCTAGGCGACGGGGAATCCTCACGTTGTGACGAATCTCCTTCCACCCTCACCTCACCGCCATCTTCTTCTTCTTCGTCGCTAGCCGATCGGTGAAGTCGTTGTTGAGCTTGAATAAAGTCATCACTAGAGGACATTACCCGTCGGAAACATTACCCCCATAAACAAATGAAGTGGGTAAACACTAATATCTAATTAGGGGGTTATTTAGATTAAAAATTCCACCCAAATAATTTTCAAGTGTGTATGAATCAAAATGCAATTAGAAACGTTATTTCAAAATTTATATTAATAGAATAAGATATTCTTCAATTAATTACATAATACAAATTAGCTTTTATTCACTTTTGATGTGCAACAAGATTTCTCATTTTCAAATTTTAATATTTTAAGCTTTTTCATTGTTCAAAAATCTAATCTTATAACATGAAGGCCATTGAAGGTCAATCCATTTGAATATTTTTTAAAACAATAGAAAAATGAATATTCTAAATATGAGAGGGTTATAATAGTGAACTTATTAATTTATGAAAATTCTTCTTCCAAATCTATTGAAACATGAGCAGTATGACATTAGTATGTTTAAAGTACATCAATAGCAGTTCAGGATTTCATTTTGGGAGTGGTTAGTTTATTTATTTTTTAAAACGGTAATTATTGTGTAAGAAAGGAAAAACACTTTATAAATTAATGTTTAAGTGGTCCTAAAAGACCAGTAAAAAAAGTGATAAAAAAAAAAAGAAAGAAAAAAACGTTTTGTATATTCTTTCTGGCTACATTTAGTGGCTGAAATACATGTGTTACAATTTTAATAGTGTACTATTTTGATTTTTTAAGTATTTAACTAAGATCATTCACAGAAACAAATATTGACAAATAGAAAATAAATCTTTTTTTCCTTTATGGGGAGGGAAGAGAGGGGAGGGTGGCTAGAAAGCTCTATAAGCTATCTGTAAGCAGTCATCTAGAAAGATCCCCGTGGATCCGTCAGTGATGTACCTGGTGACTCTTAAACACTTTTTTATGAGAAATAGTATTTCTAACATGCCTGCCAGAGTAAGGAAAGAATGCTTTCCAAAAGCATTGTTGCAATGAGATTTTGACATTTTGTTTTTAAAATATGTTTTAAAACAAAAATGAAATTAGTCCAAAATTATAAAGTACCGATTTTAATTTTGTGACTTCTTGTGGTTCAATGAAAAATTATTCTTGACACTGGCAGAAGCATCAGATATACTATGGCTTATGAAATACTATCTAAGGCTTAAGAACTGATACTAATGACATATTCTAAGGAATTCTCCTTATTAATTCTCATAAATTATTAAGTTATATTATATAATTAATTAATTTAAAGACAAAATATTTGTTTTAACAAAATGTAAAATTAGCATTTGTAATGAATAAACAATTATTAATGCAAATAAATATTAATAATAATAGTAACTGAAATTGGTTGGGGGTGCGGACAAAGATGAAATCGCACCGATATAAGAAGATTTATTTTACTATATGCCTTCAAGATGACTTAACTGCCCTTAATTAAGGCTAAAAATGACACTTCTGTTCATAATAATGCAAAAAATACTATTCATGTTTATGATGATTTTTTTTTTTAATTTGACAACTCTTTCAGTTATCATTTTAATCATAACTATTCAAAGTGCATTTTGAGTTATACACCTAGAGTATAATTTATAAAGAGAAACCTATTTATTAATTAAGACTTAACCTAAATGAAATATTTGTGTTAGATTGATGTTGATGTAAGAATATAATAATAAAAGTAAAAATATTGCATTAATCATGTTTAATGTTAGTAGATGATCAAAATTGTAGTTATACGACAGACCCTGATAACCCAAAAAGCCAAAAGCCACTTTGATGATATAATGTAACTATGGTCCACACTCGATGTAAACATGGTCTTAAAAAATGTAATACAAATAAAAAAAAAAAAGGCAAAACATTATCAATATGGCAAGTTTAAATATATTAACTTAAGAGTATTAATTGATGAGATATTAGTTTATTCTTTCTTTCACTAAATTGTTTGATTCTTTCAACATAATATGTTCATATTAACATGAAATAACTCAGTGAGATATACTTTTGAATGTAGGGTCACAGATGGACTGATCTCTTAAAGGAAAATTTTGATGATACTGTTTGAAATACAGAACGGAAAAAAAAATTAAAATAATACATAAAAATATGTATTTAATAAATTATTGAAGAATATTAGTCTACATTGATATGTTCTACATATAAGTGATAACAGTTAAGATGCAGTCATTTTTAAGGTTTTGATTGCTGCCAACATTTCAATCCAAGCATATTGGTCATCATCAGGGTGTTTCGAGCTTTGAAGTTGTTCAAATACTAGCACTTAGAAAAAAACAAGTGCAAGATCTAAGTGCCAGTATTTAAACACCTTTCAAAGCTCGAAACACCCTGATGATGACCAATATGCTTGGATTGAAATGTTGGCAGCAATCAAAACCTTAAAAATTACGGTATTCTGACTATTAGTCATCTATGATATGTAGAACAGTTGACTAACTTCCTTCAATAATTCATTAAGTACCTATTTTTATGTATTATTTTAATTTGTTTGCGCTTCCATATTTCAAACAGCTTCATCTAAATTGTTTTTATTTATATTCATTTCATACCATAATTTTTAATGTCCATGATATCAATTTTTAAAATCTATATCAAATATTTATATATTCGTCCTGACTAATTATCACACATGGAAATTATGTAATAATTATAATATCAATTAAATAATCTAAGGAATTTAAATTAAATTAATGCAACAATGTTACATTTTGATCATCTAATAACATCATAAGAACATTAGTCCATTATTTAAGAAAAATGAAGATTATAGAAAAAAAAAAAGACAGTAATTTTTTTCTCTTTAAAATATTTTACAGATACTTTAAAATTTTTGTCTAGTTTTTTCTCTATATTTTTTGTTAACACTAATACAATAGTTAATTTCATAAAAATAACTAGATAGATATTTGAAAATATTTATGCAGACATTATTGAAATAAAATAAGAAATGATATATTGGATTATATTTTAAAGTGAACCTCACATTATAAAATGAAAGTCATCATAAATAAAAATATAAAAATTTTATAACTACATTAGCCAATCATAATTTCATTATACATAAAAAATAAATTTGAAAATAAGATGAACCCTTTTTTCTTTTGTTAAATAAATGTTAACGTACATAGACAACTGTATAATATATGAGTGAACCGAATTACAGTTTTGTCTTACGCAACTATATACCAAAATAACTTATTTCTTTAAATATCAGAGATAATTTAATATTGAACTCAACTATAAATTAATACCTTAGTTAAAGATTAACTAATTTGGTTAAAAATAAACTAATATCTTTAGAAATAAGCTTTCAAGTTTCAATGATTCTTTTTATAGTTGAAGTGTGTCAATAGCACATTTATTCTGGTCTAGATTACTAATTAGAACAAAATTAATTTGATCTCATTAATTATTTTTATGAAACTAAACATTATATTTATTAAAAAGTGAAGCTAATCATGCATAGGCGCAAACTTTCCATTCTGGTTGAACCCTCCAAAAAAAGGTCTCAGGAGCTTTTATTATGCATAAAAATTATGAGTGATAATTAAATAAAATCAACATAATTATTGTAAATTGAACAATATAATACTAGAAATAAAAATAAACTTATATATATGTTGTATATTAGTTTTTTAAATTTTGTATGGGTACATTTGAAAATATGTTAATAAAGCGATCAATTATATTACTTATTTTAATTTTTATTTTATGGTTTGGGGCAGTGAGACGAACTTTCAATTCTACAATGATTCGAATTTTGAGCAGGAAACGTGACAAAATCTTCACGTAGAAATGGAAGGGTCTACATGAATGAATCATAAAATCCTAGGAAAATAGGGGATGGTAAAATACTTGTATTACCTAATTTTAAGCATTATCTTAAACATCCAGTCAACCTATCTTATTTTCTTAATTGAATACAGTTTGCATATTTCATTCATTTGTGAAGATTAATTTTTATTGATTTAGATTTTATTTCTGTACTTCAAAAAAATAGGGGGGAGGAGGGAGAGAGTGAAATAATATTCTCACCTCCTTCACTTTTATTGGATGAGAGGAGGGTAATGGGGCAATGGCCTCCCCGAAGTCTGCGCCTATGTAATCATGTGATTATTAAAGATTTTGCCAAATTTGAGAATTAATGAATGGTTCACTAGCCAGAAAATTTGTGTGGGATTCTTCCATTTTAAGTGAGATTCTGATTAAACTAAGATGAATATAAGTAGAAAGTTACCTTTCGCTATCAGGTGTGTCCGCATTATAGGGAGCTTCCCTTGGCTGCACTGATACTCTGTCCTGGTCAGCCGACTCGTATATCCCTTCTTCTTCAGGCAAGTAGCCTGCTCCTCTCCCTGTCCCATGCCTATATCTACTGTAAACAAAATCCGAGCTGCCTCGAACTCGCCTGGAACAGAATAAAAATACATTAAAAAAAAAAGCAGAATTTTAACATATATAATGTAACATGAGGAAATACGAATTGTTCACAATATAAAATGAGAAAACAAAATTTTAGTTTTTTTATCATAAATATTTCTTGTCTAAACAATTTTTTAAATTACAGACAGCTAAGTAAATCATTTGGGAATGTCATGATGACAATATGGCCACAGAATAAAGATTTAGAAAAAATAATGATACATCAAAATATCGATATTTTAAAACAAATTTATTGATTTTTATATCCCAATATTTATATTGAAATTTGCCAATCAAAAGCCAAATTAAAAAAAATTGATAAAAACCAAAAACAAAATAAAAATTGTCTGTCAAGAAAGTAGGCTTACTGGTGAGCACAACAAAATGAGTTGTTTTTTTTTTTGTAATAAAAATTTAAATTCTTTTTAGAGGTTTTATATGTTTATAAATAGAATTTTGATCTTTGTATTCATTTATTTTTTTTATGTTGAACAACTTATCATTACTTTTTTAATATTGACATCTCTACCATAGAGAAAATTTACTAGTGACAAAAGACAATTGTAAATTTAAGTATTGTATTAATTACAGAACAATTTTATGTCTTAAATCATTTTAAAAAAAGTCAAATTAAACCAAAAAGAACAAATTATTTTATTTTCACCTGCACCATATTAATGATTTATAGCTTACTTTTTTTATTATTATTAAAATAAACAAACTAAAATCAAAACTATTACTAAATTTGTTAGTACTTTTAAATTATGTAGTGACTCTATAAATTGTATAACATGCCATTTTATACGTAAGCTGGTTCTCAATGTGGAGATTCCATAATTGGCTCAGATATTATATTTTCTTAATTAGAATAAAGTATTAAAAGTAATTAATTTAACTGCAGAAAATGGCCCAATGATAATATATATTTAAAAAAGAACATAAAAATATTGGAAGGGTCAATTTAAGAAGAGGTTCTAATTTACAATACAATAGGATAATTGATAATATGAAAAAAAGATGTCATTAATCTGTTTGTGGCACAAGAGTTCATGAAGTAGATCATAACAGGTTATTTATTTGTAATTTAAGTTACAGTAACAATAATAGATATAAAAACATGTTTTTAAATGTAATAAATATAACTATAGAAGTCCTAAGTAATTCTAACATCATTACAGCTAATCATATAATCAATTATATAAATAATATTTTATAAATTTAAAAGCAATACTTGAAAATAAAATAACTCTTTAAAATAAGAAATAAAACATACATTACCAGCAAAGATATGAGGATTTTGGATATTGATGTTGAATTCATAATCCATAAACTCACAGCCACACGAACTCACAAAATGAACATATCTACAAAGTTGACATGAAAAACCACACTAGGGCCGGTGAGAAAATATGTATCCATGAAAATAAGTTATTTCATTTTATTTGGTTTTTGTTGTCATTAAAAATATATATATGAACTATAGTAACATCACACAAATTTAAAAATTGGTCCTAACCCAGGAATAAATTTTAATAAAATATAAAGCCTGATCAGATAATCAATGGAAATGATGGTTACAAATTAAAACATAATCAGGCTCATGTAGCTGTGGCTTAAGGAGTATAAATAAAAAATACAAAATACAAATAAATAAAATTTATGAAAGTGCGACGTACTCATTAGCATTAGACTAACGCTTTTATTATTACCTTCTAATATACATTCTAGTTGGAAGTAAGGCCAATAATCAAATATAAATATAAGCAATAAATGCTACTTAAAAGCAATAAGATAAAATAAAAAAGAAAAAGAAAATGGCTGCATGCCGGTATTGTCAATGATTTGCATCTAGGCCAATAGTCACAATAAAGGATGCCTTTGCTTTCAATTTTAGATAAAATATAAACAAAATATATGGTAGTGATACTTTAGTGTTATGATTAAAATCAAAACAAATAAATGAAAAATAAAGATGGAGATGAAAAACAAAAAGAAGTGCCGAAAGAGTAAGATTATTACAGTAAAAAAAAAAAAAAGTATTCAAACTGAAAAAGTATTTGAAAGTTACCTCGGTTCATTAAATTGTGTAATAAGAAAGGCGTTGGATCACAAGTTGAAGTTACGAGTCCTGAAACAGGACCCAGTGATTTAAATCATTTAACTTTTTTTTTAAGCTCAAAAAGTTTGAGAACGTAAATTCCAAAAAAAAAAAAAAAATTTAACGATTTATAAATTGTACGATTTAGAACATTCTTATTTTTCACAGACTACAGGGGCATCTAATTCAATAAATTTTGATGAATTACTTGTTTCTTGGAATTTAATTTTACATCAAAAAATAAAATAAGCATACAGCCAAAACAGCTTCTTAATAAAAGCAATAATGTTGAAAAAAAAAGTTTAAAAATCTTTTTGCAGCTTTTTAATTTTTCTGTTTAAAAATTTTTCTGAAGAAATTTCCTTGCTTCTGGCAGCCATATTTCAAATAGCAAAGCCGTATAATATAATTTCAATTTAGCTGAAAACTAATTGAAATTTCAAGTGATCCTTAAAAATGATATTATATTTTTTAAAAATTACAAAAGTTCAATAATATGAGCCACCGTTCCACCTAATGACTATTGAAGAAACAAAGAATATACATATCTGTTTCATAAACCGAATAAGTGCTTTTACTAGATTATGTTGACTAAAGAAATATAAATGAAAAATATAGAAAATCAAAACAGCATAGCCATAATAATTACCCAGATTGGGGGTCAAGGCGGTTATAGTGTCGATCAGCTTCAGTTTCAGACATTCGTATATCTTCTGATCCTGAAGGGCTCATATGCCTTGTTGTCTTATGTTCTAGCTGTCTTATAAGGTCTTCGAGGTTACGGATTCTAATTGGACCTGAGGGAGGCAATTCCTCTTCCTCCTCATCATCTAGAAGGTGAACAAAAACATGGACTTCATTTAAAAATATAAAGAAGTTACTTTTACTAATAGAAAAATTAAATAAATATATATTTACAACATAATTAATATGCTTTGAAAACATTAGATTTTGAAAATTTAACGTCAAATATTAATTGCATTCATTAAGTGCATCATAAAAAAAAATTAATGATATTCACTAAACGTAGAATATTATATACATGATTTTGTAGCATTGTAATGAAAACTTGAACTTCTATTCTTAAGAGCTCAAATATCCTAAATATATAAATATATATTTTGAATATTATCTACTAAAATCATATGGGATACAATAATAATTTAATAATGCTATACAAAATTAAGTAAGTTCACAACAATTTCTTATTCATAAAATGAAATATTTTCATATAATAGTAAATCTTTAATGAACTTGAATTAAATTGAAATATAATTTTTGGCTCAAATTACTACTGAAATTTTCTATATGCAAGCATAACAACCTTTGATCTCACATTTAATTAAATTTTAATGTATGAGATTTTTCTGGAAGGTTTGAATAAAATTTAATGACAAATTTTGTTTTATATATAATCAAGTAATTTAATTTTGTTTTCTACAAGATATTTCTCCTGAAACACAATACAATTGTGTCATCTTCATCCCTCCTATTGGAAGGCTCTTGTGAAATTCTCTGTTTTAGAGTTCTTCAAGCGCCTCAACGGTTTTGTTTAGATGGCCTACACATCAATCAAATAAGGCTTCCGAAACAACTTGAATTTGGGAAAAATCAAAATATTATTTGGTGTCTATCAGGTAAATAAGATGGATGTTCTGTCAAAATAATCAAATCTGAGACAAAAAAAAAAAAAAAAAAAACACAATTAGAGAAGTTTGGGTATGGACTATGCCCTGAAGGAGGATCCACCACCACCATTAGGCTGAATTTGATTTAACCCGAGTTGAACTAGCTATGCAGTGTCTAAGAAGAATATAGACGTTTCCATAGACGATGAAATAAAATATATTTATACATACTTTCCGAAAAACCTCCTTTACTGAAGTTGTAGTAAGTTAGAAGTAGCTTAGTAGTAGTTTAGAGCACTAGCAGATCCAGAATTTAATTTTTGGAAGGGGACTTCAGCCTGAAAGCTTATTTTTTTTATACATTTAACGATAATTACTTTGGAAGAAACATAAAGAAACTAACTACCTATGTGAAATGGTGCTTAAGTATTTCTTGAAGACCTATTAAATGTAATTACAAGAATAATAATACTTATAGAGATAATGTTTTGATATTTTTTTCATAAATGGTAATATTTCTCCTTCTCCCCCTGAGATGGCCTCTGGTTGAGAGAAATTAGAAAAAAACATCTGGACTGTAGGAGGTCCTTTGCCTTCTTTTTCGATGCTCTGATATTTTACAAATCGGACAATTAATTTTTAAAATATAAAAATTTTAATCTACAGAAAAAACTATGATATTGAAAGCTAAAAATATTCGTTCACCATAAAATATAATGCAAAGGTGTAATGAGTCAAAATAACGTTTATTCTAAAAACAAACACAGCAAATAGAGAGATATATTAAAAATCATATTGGAATGTTCAAAATGTTGGAAACTTAGGGTTTGGGTAAAAATCACATTCGGTAAACTCATGATCTGAAATAAAATTTTTCCTTTTCATCAATTAAAAAAAATGTTAAATAATATTATAAATTAATAAACTATAAGTGTTTATTATTATATTAAAGTAAACATCAGGTTTTAGAAAAAAATAGATACAGCAAATGTAAATTATGTTAGCTTATTGTTACAGTATTAAAGTGCATAAAGACCCACAGCAGGATCTTCTAATGAAACACCACCCCATGTCATATTTGGATGACACAATGTATCTGTAACATCATAACATTACATCGGAGTATAACTCTGGAGAATTTCATGACATTGTCGGTTTTTCCCAGTCACATAGGATTCCTAGAGGATAATGCTCAACAGTCTGTTCATTTTAAATAGGAATTGGACAGAAAAAGTATTCTGCAATTCCTAGAAGCATATAACCGTAAAGAAGTATAGTAGGATATACACTGACAGGCAAAAAATTCCACCCACTTGATTTTTTCATGTTTTCATCTAAAAATATTTCTGCTTTGTATTGGTCTATTGTTTTGAATGAATAAATAGGTAATCTTTTTGTTTGTTTTCAATTAGGAATGTTAATATAGAGGACAATAACCCTTAATCTTTAATTCAATGAAATGATTCTAGATACCACTGTTTACTTTCTATGGAATCAAAATGTTTATTTAGTATCATTAGTTCAGGGCCGTTTCTTGCAGCACATTTCTTAGTCTCTGGCTTTTAATTTTTTTAATATTAAGTTTAAAAATGCCTCTTAGTGCTGAGGATGTTGCGAGTGGTGTGGCACTTATTGATGATGTTCCATTAGATATGCAGCTAAAGCCATCGGAGTTCCATATGAAACTTTACGAGACGCCGTCAGGCGTTTTTGGGAGACTGGTTCTTACAATAGAAGGCCCGGTTCTGGACGGCCTAGGGTAACAGAACCACGGGATGACCGGTTTTTGAATTTGAGAATTTTACGATACCGGCACCTTACCGTTGTTCAAGCGATTCATCAGCTCGAAGAAGTTCGAGGTGTGAAAATTTCTGAACGTATGGCTCTGAGAAGATTAAATGAGTATGGATTAATGGCTTTTCGTCCAGTAAAAGGACTAGAGTTGACCAGAACTTACAGAGTAACACGACTGGCTTTTACTCGAGAACAAAGTCATTGGACTATGGACAAATGGAGTGCTTTACTTTTTACAGATGAGTCAAGATTCGCTCTTCGATCTCCAGCGTGAAACGGTGTGGAGAAGAAGAAATGAAAGATATTCAGCCTGTAATTTTTCCCAGAGCCAACCTTTCCAATGTGGTTCCTTTCAATGGAGCGCCGCACAGAATTGGTTGTTGTTCGTGGAGGGTCTTTGACGGCCATTCGCTATGTAGATGAGATTTTGGAACCTCATGTGTTGCCTATTATCAACGAAATCAGCGATCGTTCTATTCTAATGCATGATAATGCACGCCCACATGTCGCCCGCATAGTGCAGACGTTCCTTCAACAGAGCAATATTGAGGTTTTAGCATGGCCAGCACGTTCTCCAGATTTGAACCCCATTGAGCATTTATGGGATAACCTCGGAAGACGAATAAGAGAGCGTGCAACACTTCCTGATACACTGCAGGACCTTGAAAGGGCTCTTCCGGAGGAATGGGCTATCCTCAGCATTGAGAGGCATTTTTAAACTTAAATATTGAAAAAATTAAAAGCCGGAGACTAAGAAATGTGCTGCAAGAATCGGCACTGAACTAATGATACTGAATAAACATTTTGATTCCATAGAAAGTAAACATTTGAATCTAGAATCATTTCATTGAATTAAGGATTAAGGGTTATTGTCCTCTATATTAACATTCCTAATTGAAAAAAAAGATTACCTATTTATTCATTAAAAACAATAGACCAATCCAAAGCAAAAATATTTTTAGATGAAAACATGAAAAAATCAAGTGGGTAGAATTTTTTGCCTGTCAGTGTATATAGCCAACATCATTACAATGATATTAAAAGAAGAGTTGTTGGAAGGAACTAGAAGTTTTAACAATGGACAATGAATTCTGAAGAAATACGTAGCTTGAGAAGAGAAAAGGCAAAGACTCAGCGTACAGGATCAGGTAAGCGGATGTAAATAAATTATTATTATTAAATTGTAGTACTCTCTTTTAGTACAATAAACAATTACAAAGCAAACAAAATATATAATTGCACAATTAGCAAATTAAGAATATTTTTACTTTATAGGTGTAATTATGTAAAAATACAATTATGAAAATTGAAATCAACATAGCAGATTAACTTCAAATAAGTAAATAAAATAATTTGTGTTTATTCATATCCCAAAATCATTAAATCCAACTAGTATAAATATAGGGAACAACTATGGATCGACAATAAATAATCTTGTTAAAAATTATTAATTTATTTTTTTAAATAATTTTTATTAATAAAAGATTTAATAGTAGAATTGTATGAATTTCAACAGAGAATATTTATTGAATTTTTATCTAGCTATATTAACCATAAAATAAGCATTATTTTTTCGTTAGTTTTGATTACATAAACTGAACACAACTTAAAATGTTTTAGAAAAAAACTGAAAGATACGATGGGCAGATGCTAGATTTAACTGATACATGTGTATGTACTGTTATGTAGATACTATGATGCACCATATTTATCATGATCCTATAATAGTATTGCATTAGGCATTCGGTGTTGTATTTTTGGACTCACCTTTGCATTTAAAATTCTTTTTCACCACTGCAAATTAATTCACTAGCACATTATAACTGATTCTACTTATAAAAAATATATATACCAAGTAAAATTATAAATCCCTGTAAAAATCATTCGATTATTCCTTCAATTGAACTATATTCCTCAGGTTCAATAGAACTTTTATATTTCATAGAATCTTTGATGTATTAGGTACGTGCTCAAAGTCAAAGCTCTAAGCTAATTTTTTCTAAGCAATGTTAAGTTTAAAAATATGATATATCTAATAAACAAACAATATATAAAATGCTCCTGCTACTTTAATTAAATCTTCCATATCGGTAACATTTTAAGCACTATTAATAATTAATCTACTTCTCACCTGTTTGATGATTTCATACTGATATTTTATTATTTTATTAAAAATTGTTTTTCTTGATTTCATTAAAAAGGTTTTATATGTGATTCTGGACTAAACCATAAAAATTGATTTTTCATAATTTTAATTATGAAATATTCTTTTAGCATTAAACAATGCAATCCTAAACATAACAATTCAACAGATTTCATTGAAGTCAAAAATACTGTTTATAAATGATTCAGGAAGTACTCATAGGTATTCAAGAAGGGATATGGTGAATACAGTATTTGTAGCTAACCAATGAAAAATATGTTTACCAAATTTAAATAGCCTGTCTTGATGAAACAACTAAAGTAAAAAAGTGGAAGGTGGGTTAGGATTATTTTACTCCTTCATTTTTTTGTTTGTTTTTTTTGTCAGAAAATAAAATTTTAAATCTGTACAGTTTTTAAAACTTTAGTACTGTTTTAGTAAGAGTTATAAAAAAAATCTTTATATGCTATTAATCACCATAAATATGAAAGAAATATTTTTTTTTATCCATTTATTGAAATTTACAACTCTATCAACTATAATGCAATAAGTAAATGTGAATTGATAAATAAGATGTACAGACTTAAAGAAAAAATTAATGCCAATAGAAATAATTTAAAACATTAAATAGTATAAAATAAATTGAATAAAAGTATTGCAAAGTGATACCTTGATTTTCCGTCCTATGGTTAGTCCTTCGGTGGTGATGATGACCAGAGGGAGAGGGAGAACTATTTTCAACCATGACTACATGAGTCTGAGACCCGTGACCTACGGAGTGCAATATTTATCTTATCATCTAATCTAAATTTTATTAAGGGCTGTCTTCTGCTGCCCTTTTTCCAGATTTGTCCCTTTTATACATTCATTTTCTAATCTAAATCTATTAAACATTATAAATGATACATGACATTACCTGATAGCAGGTCAAAATCACCTGTAAAATTGTTTACAAAAGTGTAGATAAATACAATTGAATTGAAGCCAGCCAAAATTGCATTTATATTTTAAATAAGTACATGGAATAAATAAATAAATAAATAAATAAATAAATATATATATATATATATATATATATATATATATTTATTTATCTTTTTTATGTGGTTTAAGAAACATATGATTGATAAACTAAGGACCAAACAATTCGAGACACATATGACAATTGTATTGACTATTTTAAATTCTGATAAAATAAATTAAAAAGACGTCTGTTTCAAGATATTTGTTAGTGCCAAGGTTATATGAGATAAGAAATGAAACTTTGCTGCCTGGACATCACTTAAATTAAAAACAGAAATTTCGATGAGATTTAGTAGGTGTCCTAAACTTCAAACTAATATGACTCATACAATTTTTTATTTTTTTTTTCAAAGGAAAGAAAATGGAAAGATTGTTTTTCCAAACAAAGAAAATATATACTCTCACTAGCTATTTCCTAAAGTTATTAATTTTGATTCTTTATTTTCATTACGATATATTTAATGATTTGTATATTGCTATTATTTAAAATAAAAGTTTAACTAACAATATCATAAATATAAATAAAGAAATTCTTGATAAAGTCTCATCCACATATTACACCATGCATCAATGGGGAGGTAGTGAATGGAGAATTATAATAAATCTACAAAATATAGGCAATTAAAGATTCTTATCATAAATAAATTAAATAAGAATCCTGAAAGCTGTTCAAATTAGAGATAGAATGCAAGAACTCTAACATGTTTAATGGTAATTAAAAGAAACAGGAATAATATTTAAAGCCAAAATCATTAACACATAGTTTCTAAAAACAAAATATGGTTGATCTTTTTTTAAACAAGTTAATTTTTATTTTCATTGTTTAAGCTTTCATGACGGAAAGATATAGATATTATTCATGGGGGAAGAGGGAGACAAAATGACAAATCTCGTTAACAAATGTGTGAACAGTTCCAAACAATATTCATAGTTAAATAAAATAAAAGTATATTGCAGCTATACTTCAAACTTAAAATGAAGGATGATTTATTTAAACTCAGTAAAACTTCTTTCTTGTCAAAATTTTTAATCACATTTGCTATCTCATTTAAAACCCATTTAGTTTCCATATCCACTTCTCAAAAATATCATATTAAGTATTTGCTCATTTATAATTATATATATGATGTGAAGTTACTAACTCTGATCTGAGCAGAGTTTGTCCTGAGAATTAACCCTGTTATACGCTGGACATGGATCAAGACCAACAGCAGCTGCTGCGAGTGACCTTCTCAGTAGGTCTTCGCTCGAAGCGCCTGAGTGGCGAGATGCTGCGCTTCTCAAAGCCTCTAAAATATCCTCATGATAACCATTTAATGACTTCAAAGTCCTTTCCACCTAAAAATAGGAAAGAGAATTATAAATATAGACTACAGACATAAGTAATAGTAAAAAAAAAAAAATAAATGAAAGAACAGGATATTATCATCATAATTATGGTCTGAATTTTTAAATAAAAACTAAATTTTATTAAAGACATCTTAATGGAGAGGTTTTATCTCTTTTCTAATATATATTTTATATTAAGAAGTAATAAACTTAAAAATATCTATAAATAAGTCTATGAATTCAATAAGGTTTATTTGATATTCAAGTAAAGAGGTAATAATAAATACCTCTGAACTGGGACCAGTTGATATCATGTCAGGTCCCAGAGTGAGGCTGTTATCGAGAATTTCTTGAGGGTCGGCTCCAGCATCTTCCAGCCACTTTTTATGACAAGTATCTTCGCCTCCATAGGGGCAAGGCTTCTTTAGTATTCCCTTTTCAGGAAGTTTCGCGAGGTTATTAGGAGGCAGGTCAATGAAGGAAACGGTCTCCTCTTCCCCTGAGAAAATACCATAGAGCGCACGATCTTTCTCATTTTATATACAACCTAGTTATAGTCTTCTTAAGCATTAAATATATGATTTTGCTATTTATTATTAAAGATAAAATTTGACAATTTAAGAAAACTAAAACAGTATGAAATAAGATAAGAGTGAAACGGCTTTGAGAATGTGCTTTATACTTGAGATAAAGGGTTAATAACTAATAAACTTAAATAATATTAATAATACTACTCTGAAGGGAAGAATATTAGCATAGATAAATAGTTCATTTTTGATTACAATATTTATGAACATAAATATTAAAGTATTCAATCATAAATAAAAAGCTAACACCATAAGATGCAGTATTCACCGTATTCCAAGCAGAAGTGTTTGCCATATTGTCAGCAGCCACATGTCAAGAAATCATTGGCTGTGATAAAGCCATTGTTATATATTCTGACAGCCAATCACTTTTTCAAGCCTTAGAATCTCTCAAGGAGCCAATCTTGTAAGAGAGGGTAGGTAAGCTCTGGAAACTCTCTACGAGATACCCATACAAAGAAGTATCTGACTGGGCATGGAGGGAACCTGACTGGTCTCTGATTGTGTAGAGCAAAAGCAAGCTAAACAATTTATTAAAAAAAAACATCCACTTTCTAGAACCATGTGGCTTCTTAGTAAAAACATGGATGAATTTCTATTAACTATCTATTAACAATTTGAGGCGATTGCAGACTCAAAAAATATCTTAAGATCTACAGGGTGGTAAGGGATGAAACCTATCATTTGTCACCAAGACAGAAGAAACCACTAAGACAACATTATGTAGCAGAATGTGACCATTATGCGTCCCATAGGTATTGCATTTTAGGCTTCAACAGAATCCTAGAACAGAAGGTTTTCTCCATTGAATAGCCATCTCTTGTATTTCATTAGGAAAAGGTCCTTTTGGAGGAAAAATGATCTCCATTGATATATCTAATTTGAAGTTGGCAAAAAGGACCAGGAGGTCTACTTGCCGGATTCATCCCCCTTCTTCTTTACCAGAACCGGGGAAGAAATACTGTTTTGTTTTCAACTCTTCAGTTAGACAAATACTCTGCTTAAATTTGAAATTTACATGACTAAACCAAATAAAAGACATATTCACTGACATATCAAGATTGAATATATCTCTAAAATTACTTTATTACTTAATGTTAAAGAATAGATAATGATATAGAAACCCACCAGAATGTCCAGGGTCATCCTCACTTCCAGATCCAGCGAACCTCTTTATCTGCTGCATCTTATGATCCCTGGATTAGCATTAGGAAAATTTTTTATTAGTTGTAAACAATGAACAATTCAGGAAATACATGCACATGCAATCCGCCAAATGATTTAAGCCAAAAAAAAAATTTTTACATAAGCATACACTGCTTCACAAGACAGTAAACATGATTTATATTAAGATGATACAATGAAATATATTTATAAGTATTATATATTTGAAAAATAAATAAGAAAAACAGTGCTTGCCCTTGGAATACTTTTTGCAGAATCAGTAAACAAATTTCAAATATATATATTTCCAACAGTAGGGAAAGCTTTGTTTTTCATATTTCAATTTAGAATATTAGAAACTGACTGAAATCTAGACGTCGGAGGACCAGCGCCCATATGGTTCGGCCTGAACAGGACTCTCTGTGAATCTCCTCGACCACTGAAACACGATAGGTTTTCCAGTCAGTATTAATAAAAAATTAAATTTATGCAGCATTTATTACCAAAATTTTTAAATTGTCAAGTGAATGGTTTAGATTAAAAATGAGTATCATTTAAAAACTTTAAATGACTAGTAAAGAAGAACAAATTTAGGTTAGGATGATTGGAATATCACTCAGAGATTTGGTTAGGGTAATCTCATGCTCTTGAAGAAAACAGAAATTTCTCCAGCAAAGAAATTATTTTAAGAAAAGCGGAATTGAAGTTGTGAAGAATTTGTTTAATCACAGTGTACTTCTTTAAAAGACATGAAAAAAAAAAGTTGACAAGCCTTGTAATTTTAATATACTTGATTGATAAATATTTTTTTGTTTGCACTAATCTATTTTAGTTATGGCTATTATTTCTGTTCATGTTTATAATAATCATCACATACTTATAAAAAAAAACCCTCGATGATTATCCTTACCTATAGCCAGGCATATTGTTAAACGGAGGCATCTTGCTTGCATCTAGACCTGCCGCTTCTTCTGGGGTTGCTAACGAAGATGAACTAAATCCCTTTGACATTGGTTTCTTGGAGTACGGAGGTTCTGGCTTGGGCATAGTAGTTCTCCTAGGAGGTGGAAGTAGGGATTGGATTGCTGAATTGATAATTTGAGTATTTTTGAATATATGCAACTGACTAGATTTTGAAGTTAATAAAATTTGATTTATATAAACTTTCATAAATTGAAAATGACCAAACAGCTCTTGATTAGTAAATAGTGAAAGGAGGCAATTTAGCAAGAATTAATTGAACTAAATCCCCTTCATTAATGATATTACAATTAGTATTAATTTTAATTTTTTCAACAGGTTTTGAATATTGTTAGTAAAATTTGAAAAACTTAAAATTGTATTAATTAAATTTAATAAATTGAAAATATTTAAAAAACCAATTCAATATATAAGGAATCAATTTATTTGATAGAATCAGAAAAATAAATAATAACAAGCAGCATGCCACAGAAAAACTATCTCACGTCTGAGCATATACAACAATTAGCATGCAATATATAACGGTCATTGTTTTTCAATCCATCTCTTGAGGGTTTATGCAAAGGAAAATATTAGTTTTTAGTATTTTATCATTAAATAAAAGCTATAAGATTGTTTAGCATGGAATACATTTTTGTGAAACATTAATTTATCATAATCATAATCGAATGTATGGTAGTATCACATGTCTTTTTTTTTTTTTTAATTTTTGCATTGTTTTAACCGACCAGAATATACTCCATGAATGCTATTCATTTATTCCTACAAACATTTTTTTCATAAAACTTCTTCATAAAATGAAAAATTTTCCTAGGAAGTATTTTGTATCACACAGGTATTAATTCATTACTTCCTTGAAAATATTTATAAGTTTACAAAGAGGTAATCAGGTCACTAATTAATCAAATGAATACTCAAGAGCAATTTAATGTTGGAAATTTTTCATGGTCAATATCAAAAAGAATAATATAATCATAGTAAGGAATATCACTAGTTTTGCTCTCTATGTATCCAGTTTTATGTTATAAATATGATAATGTGATACAACCAAATAATTCAAAAGTTACATTAAGTTTTATTATTTCTTAATATAAGTTTACCCTCAAGTTAAGTTTAAATTCAACAAAAATTATAACAGATTACATACCCAATAATTTATATCAAATAAACACACATTTACAGACACAATGCAAAAATGAAAAAAACAAAACATTAAAAATATATATATTAATTATAATAAAGTGACATCAGACAAGTAAAACCACAAGCTTTAAAGTATAAACAAATATAATCTTTGGATGGAGTTAGATATTAAATAGGAGAATGGTCAGGACAAAGGAAGTCAAATGAAGGATTACACACCCATTCTTTTTTAAAATTCTTTAGACTAATAAGTTATTTCATTGTAAACTAAACATATATAATATATTATATCTATACATTGTTTATATTAATCATAATTATTTATATTTAGATTAAACATCTTATCAGCACTGCTAGTCTATGTGAATGTCTGTGAAGCAGTGTTTGACAATAAAATTCTATTATCATGCGAAACCTATTGAACCTTGCTGCCGAAGCCTATTGTATGAGACAATTGTGCTAAGCAACTATAGTATTATGATTAATAGAAAAAAAGTTAAAAAGTTCAGGGGTTTATTTTATCTACAGTATTATATTTCTTATTTTTTAAAAATCATTCTGATCCACCTGAACCTCTTATTATAATTTATTTTCTATTATATAAAGCTTTTATTCTAAATTTTTCTACTTGATTTTGTGAAGCAGAAAATAATAATTAGAAAAGAAATAAGTAAAATGAGCATAGAATGGTCAATAAAGTATTGACATTTCTAAAAGAAAACAAAAGTGAAAAGCTGTAACTAAAAGAAATGAAAAGGTAGCAAAGAAATCAGTGCAAGGTGTCATTAAGTAATTTTATGGATATTGAGTTCCTACATAATAAGTATACTGCCATTAATTTTAAGGTTAATAAACTATTTTATGGTACTTGCTGAATTGCTTACTCATTCAAATGGTGTGATGTGAATGGCTTTCATAGTTTGGGCAAATTATTACATTGCTTATTAAATAGATTTAGCCAATTGTAAACAAATAATAGTTCAGAGATTAAAACTAAAAGTTTTAAATTATGATCAATGAGATACCAAATATTTACAGAATATATTATAGTAAAAGAGGTAAAATAATAAAATTTTATTTGCTAGCTTGAAAAGATTTCCTGAAATAACATTGGTTCACTTCTACTTATTGTAGTCTCAAAAGTTTCAGTTAAATTGACAGATGTATCAGAATTCCTTATCATTATAGTTTCTTAGGTTTACAACTTTAGAACTAAATATCAGGTAAAATCAAAAACTTAATGAACAACCAGTACATGGAAATTAGATCAGTATAAATCTTGCAATTATAATTAATTTTCAGTTACAATAAAATTTGTAATACTGATTTTTAAACAGTTATGATATGATAGAAAACATGTTTTCCCCCAGCTTTATTTCTTTGACATCAGTTGAAAGTACACTCAGTAAGTACAAGGGCTGAATTGTTGGTCGTAGGAGTTGAGATCATGCCTAGAATGAATGAGTTAGTATGGTATAGTAATTTGTCATAAAATCATTTGGAGTAAGTCTTTATGTGTACATTACCTCTAGGTATGCAAAGGCCTATAAATAAAGTAATAGTAATGTACCAAGGAGCATTAATTATAGTCCTAAAAGCTTATGAATAAAGAATTTGAAGTTTGTTTTTAAGGAATAAGGTCCAAGATATGTATTTTATCATCATTATCATTGCATGCTACTATAAGTTAGAGTGTCTAGGGATCCTGATTGAGTAACCACCAGAAGTCTCTCTCTAATGCTACTGTTATTGTTGACTGGCTTCTCTCTGATCATGCAATCAATGCAGTGATGGCTTGCCTAACCATGGTTGACCTTCAGGATGTTCCTCATGATCTGCTTGCTATTCATCCTCACCCCTTTAATCTTCAGCCTAAATTCATTTTAACATGGCTCACTTAATGAAGGAGACAATGCTTTCCAAGGAGGACATAAATCTTCAGGTTGGTTCTACTTCCACATCTTCTGTTAAAATGCCTGGGTCCAAATATTTAGCAGAGAATCATGCTCTCAAAAATATTAAGATTTCAATTCACTATCTTGATAATGGTCTAAGTTTTTATTTATTGGCTGACTTATTCAAACAAATAGGTAGCAGACTGCACTTTATCCCCAAGCATAAAGATCCTGAGATAACATGTACTTGGTTTATTCTTGATTGATACAAAAACCAAACTCTTCTTGCTGTTTTTCTTAGACAGCCTCACTAACTGCTTGCTTTACCCTTCGTACAATATCTTTATTGTCCCAAAATGATAGCTGTAACAAACAGTTAAATATTATAATGTATCAATCTGCGCAATTCAACTCTGCGGTAAAGTGAAGAGAGCAGTTTCATGTCATCAAATGAATTTGTCTTGATTGTTCCTAATTTCTCAAATTCTAATTATGAAATTTTGTTAACTGATATGGTATGAGATATGTAGGTCCAATACTATGTATAATGGATATGTAGATGAATTTCATTTCCGGAATTCAAAGTGATGGTTGGGTATTATGTTGTCTTTCTTCAATATGTTAAGAAGTCTTTTGTGGTGGGGTTTCTCCAGGAGCAAGTTACTAGGTCTCTATGACGATATCTGTGTCCTTGATTGCTTTTGTGAATCATGGTTTGAGTGTTTTTATCACTAGGGGGGCTAAGTCTTTCTTAGTTTCAAATTAAAAATAGACTTTAGAAGCCCCAGAGCTATTCTGGATTTTACCTGGAGCACATATCAGGTTGTGACTAGGGGTTTCTTTTTAGATAACTGTCGAATTTGTCCTGCAAATTAGTTGGAGAAAATTTTCATTCTTAAAACATAAATAAATTGAAATTATAAAAACAAAAGGTTTTTCATTCAAACTACTGAAGTAGAATGACAAAAACACTATTTATGAATTTTTCAAATGATTCCATGGCATCAAGTATATTTTAATATTACAGATAAATTGAAATAGAAATTTTATTTGGTACAATGATTTATTTAATAAGCAATGATTACAATTATGGTAACTAGAAAGACACCCATTATATATTTCTACATATCATGCTTGCACTGATAAAACTAACTCAAAATAAAACATATAATTTAAAGTATTAAAAATATAAATGAAATAAAAATAAAACAAAGACCACATTTAGGAACATGTGTTTTTGTTTAATTTAGCATTATCAACTAACCTGAGACATAGGGAGAAGTTTTTGTGGACTACGACAGATCTGTAGCACAACGCACTCAGCGCAAACACTATGAATACGCCCCCCACCACCGACATTAAAGTACCCACCAGGAACACAGTGTTCGTGCTGTGAGAATTTTCTGCATCGAACAAAAAAAAACAAAAAAAAAACAATAGATTCATTACACACCGATTAAAATAATACTTCAGATATGGGTGTGGTTAATAGGATAAAACTGGGGAATAAAAGAATATAGGTGAGGAAATATTTTGATTTTCAAATGTAAGTAGTTCATGCGCCAACCAGAGCTAAATGAAGTATGTATTGAAGAGAAGGAAGAATCGGACAGTTAGACAGAAATGGAAAAGAAAGCTGTTTAATATTATTATTAATTCTGTAGCAATAGATTCATATTCAACATTACACATAGTACACAAACAAAAGTCTGGCATTACCAATAACCATTTTCATTGGTACAGATAATATATATATATTTATATTTAACCACAACAAGCAGAACTGAATACATGAATATGTACCAAAATTTCACATTCCTTTCAGTATTTTAACAAATATTTGTCTGTTGCAGCATGCTGTTTGTAACATATTGAATAGTTTATTTTATTTTATAGAAATAAAGTTAACAATTATTTATTTTCAAGTCTAAATATAGGTAAAAGACTAACAAGTAATTTATTTTAAAATATCAGCAACTGCATAAAAACAAATATTCATAATGTCGCAAAACACATAAAAGCATTTCTGTAACCAACAAAAATCGGCGAACAATGCGAGAGATAAAATATAAAAATTAGCGCTTGCTCACAGGTATTAATTGCTTTATTTACAGTTGAGGAAGTATTTTGGTTTCCTCTGATTGTGTACCT